ATCTGTTGCTATCTGTCGTTATCTGTTGTTGTTGTCGTCGTCGTCGTCGTCGTTGTTGTTGTAGTTGTTGTTGCTATCGTTCTTTATATGTTGATATCTGTTGCTATCTGTCGTTATGTGTTGTTGTTGTTGTTGTTGTTGTTGCTGCTGATGCTGCTGCTGTTGTTGTTGTTGTTGTCGGTTGTGGTTGTTGTTGTTGTTGTTGTTGTTGTTGTTGTTGTTGTTGTTGTTGTTGTTGTTGTTGTTGTTGTTGCTGTTGCTGTTGTTGTTGTTGTTGTTGTTGCTGCTGCTGCTGCTGCTGCTGCTGTTGTTGTTGTTGTTGTTGTTGTTGTTGTTGTTGTTGTTGTTGTTGTTGTTGTTGTTGTTGTTGTTGTTGTTGTTGTTGTTGTCATCGTTGTTGTTGTTGTTGTCATCGTTGTTGTTGTTGTTGTTGTCGGTGGTGGTGGTGGTGGTGGTGGTGGTGGTGGTGGTGGTGGTGGTGGTGGTGGTGGTGGTGGTGGTGGTGGTGGTGGTTGTCGTTGTTGTCGTTGTTGTCGTCGTCATCGTCTCCGTCGTCATTGTTGTGGTTGTGGTTGGTGGTGGGGTTGTTCTTTTTGCCCAAAGAGGCATTGGGGTGGTTTTCAGGGCAGCTTTCAGGGCGGGTTCCCGAAGTGTTTCGGGGGGTTCAGCGCTCTTGGGGATACACCTGGGTTTAGTTGGTTTTCTCCGGGGGTGGTGAAAAGGAATCTAGAGAAACCACCCGCTTTTGGAGGTGACAGCATTGTTCGACTTGCTCGAGAGGAAAATCGAAAGGGAACTGCTTATTTTTTTTGAGCTTCTCCATATGTTTGGCTAGTTCTGAAATGGCATAATGGGAATCAACAAGGCGATTAAGAACGACCCGATCATATCCTATCCTTTCACAGGGCGGAAGGTCCAAATACTCCGACTGATTTCCAGTGGTTTGCCCGAAGCGTTTTTTTTCGTTGGTTAACGGGTTTCACAATAACCCCAAGTGAACCTAAATGTCACAAAACACGGTCGTTGGCTCCCGAAGTTCTTTGCGCAGGTGTAAATCCACGAAAGATTTCAAAACATGCCCTTGAAAAACACAAACAGCTTCGAACAACCCTCTTAGCCCTAGCGAGTCCAGAAATTCTGAGATCCTTTCTGGGTCATGGGTGGTGGGGCGGGGATCCTGATGTCTCTCCTACGGCTTAGCCAAGTGTTTTATGAACCCCTGCCACAGGAAAACTGGCAGGACCCTGCGAAACGGCATTCTGCCACATGCAAGCTGCAAGGTCCTCATGGGTTTGCCTGTGACACCTTGATTTCATTTCTGGGAATCTGTTGAAACCAGTTGGCCCCCTCGCAAGTGGTTGGCAGTTCAGGTGGGAAACTCATACCCATCGCCAGCTAAGCCAACTCCCAGCTGCCCGGCAACCCTGGCAGCACAGGAATCAGAACCCTTATTTGATCATTGAGAACCCAGATAAAAGGATTTAGAGGGTGGCATCCGCTGAACAATTGGGAATTGGTTGGAGGTTGACTTAAAAAAGGAAACCCCCTCCAAACAAGCTGGAAAAAGGGTACCACTGGAGGCAGAAGTCATTTTGATCTCACAGTGATGCCCTTGCCAAGGTGACGGCATTGCAACCCTTTTGCACGCCTCCGTCCCTTTTGACACCGCTGTGGGGCATGGTCAAAACCCCTTGCACACGTAGGCACTGTCGGGGATGCAATAGGAAGCCCCCCCAACGGCCTCAGCTTTTCCCGCCAAAATCAGACCTTCCCGAGCCCTCTGGAAATCGAGCGAGCCCTCTGGAAACTCAGAGATCCCAAGCGTCTGATCCTAACGCCCTTGTCTTTTCACTCTGCCAGTCAATCCCAGCCCCTCACAGTAGCAGTTTCCTTCAGATTTCAAACTGTAGGTCCCACCCCTTGGCGACCTCCCGAAAAAGTAGAAAACCCTTTCACTCACGGAGTCAAAGCGTGTGTTTTTTGGGGGAGAGGAAGTCACACGACTCACCGGCCACAAGGCGCTCCTGCCTTAATGCGGTAGTGCGTCGCCTCAGGTGGACACGAAAAAACACTGGCCTGTCCGCCTAGTGCCTCCCAGCAAGGCACAAATAAGAAGGGATTATTTCCTCTTGGCGTCATATGATGGTTTACCCTGGGTGAGTACTACAATTGTATTGGAAGGACTCGAACGAATCAACAAGGGCGGATGTGAGAGGGAGGATTTCAAACAACCCAACCATATTTCTCAAATGTAGACCAAACAACTTCTGCGAGATTCCCGGTCCTGCTGTATCGCTGCTTTGTTGAGGTTGTGTGTTGTTGCATTGTTGAGGGTGTGCTCGCTGAGGTTGGTCTAAGCGAACCTAAACCTGCCATTTTGGGGACCCTTATTTTCGAGAAACATCCTCATATCCCATTAGTCTCTCTTTGGCTTCCGCCAACTCTGCAAAAACATCTCGCCGAGGGGCGGTGCGGCGGTCCGAGGTGCGCCACCTCACTGGAAGATCCACCAGGAAACGGAAAACACAATGAAGACCTGGACGTTCAAAACACAGATCAACCGCGTTCAGCAAAACATCACATTAACAAACAGAACGGAAACTGCTGTATTGCGGTTCATTGAGAATGTGTCATTCTGGGTAGGTGGGTGGGTGCGTGGGTGGGTGGGTGGGCAGGTGGGTGGGTGGTGGGCGGGCGGGCGGTTGGACGGGCGGGTGAAACCAAGTGCCGCGCCCGCCATGAAAACGGAAAGGGGCACCCGAAGGCGACAGCTCCGCGCAAACCAGTCGAAAGTCAAAGAGTATGCGTTGGCTGTGAAAGTAAGTGTGCGCAATAATGTTAGTGTAAGTTGAGTGAGCGATAGCAGAATTTTGTCTAAAGCGAGCAAGAGTAAGTATGCGTAAATGGAGCGAGCAAGGGTGAGAGTGTTGGAAAACACTGTGTAAGTTGAGTCAGAGAGATTAAGTATGTGTAAAATGGATAGCGGCTGCAAGTGGGTGAGTGCAAGTTGAGGTACTGAGAATAAGTGTGTGTGTGTGTAAGTCGGTGAGTGTAAGTTGTGAGTGAGAGAAGGTACGTGCAGGTGAGAGTGAGAGCACAAGGAGGAGGGCGAAGGAGAGCGGCTTAGACGACGACATTCAAACTAAGAACCCCATGTCGAGAAAAATGGACCCCAAAGCCATAGGCCAATACAAAGGGGAATGTCATACTTTCTGACTGCTTTTTGGTGACCCCCACGACAATGCTTTCCCTTTGTTTTTTTTTCTTCTCCGCAAAGGACTGCTCATGTCGGGCCACATGTGGGCGATGCGGCTGCTCTTCGCCCGCACGATCTCGCCACCGCAGAGCCAGGCGCGCAGCGACTGGTCCTCAGAGCTGGGGGGAGCCATGGCTCCGAGTCCCACTACCTGGTGACTTTGGGTTCCAAGGTTCTGGAGGTTTAAAGTGGTTAATAAACATAGAGCTTTCCGATGGGATTTGAAGGGCTGACTTTGTGGCCTTTAGAAACACTATTTGGCCTGAGCAACTTGGATGATACATGAGAGAAACTCATTGGCATTTTTCAGCACCTTGTTCCGACGAAAGATCCATTCCAAAAGTCTTAACATTTTGAAAGTCGGAGATGCAGCACTGTGCGCGTGAACTCCGCGCTTTTTACGGGCCTACGGCGTCAAACTATGCGCTGCAGTCCCGTCAAACGTGGCAAGTTTCAGGGCCTTCCTTTTAACAGCCAAAAACGTCGAAACCCAAACCCAACCACCAATGAGCGGGACGTTGAACTGGACAGGCAATGAACATTAAATGCTCTAACTGGCTTGCACGTGGCTCTACTTGGTTTCATGGGGGTTACAAATGGCAAGCCTGAAGGGACACTCCCCTGAACAATCCAAACCATCCATTAGACTTGGTTGCTGTTGAACCCTTCTGTACCTTTTTTTCCCCAACAGCTGAAAGCTTTGGGGTCTCAGCCCAGATAGGCTCCAGGGTGGTCCGGGGCGGCCCTGAGGTAAGGTTCCACAAGGGTTCCACGAGGGTTCCACGAGGGTTCTGCGAGGGCTCTGCGAGGGCTCTGCGAGGGCTGTGGGGTGGTGCCAGCACTAAAAAGAGCACCACATTCTGTTGGGGATATCACTTGAGCGTATTTGTGCAATGGAAAACCGTTGATTTCCCAGAAGTTAAAGCCTAAAGATCCAACCCAATAGCAATCCATCAGAGGAAAGCTGATTCTTGGGGGTGCAGGAAACAAATCCGCCCTTGAGCCGAGGCGCCAAGTTCTCGCCGCCCCAGCCGTGCATGCCCTCGTCGAAGCCCCCGGTGAGGTTGAACCACTCCCGGCCCATGGCCACCAATCCCCCGCCTGAGAAATGTTTGTGGCCATTGGGAAGAAAGGCCACCCACTACTTGGTTGACTTTCAAGGAAACCCTGTCCAAAGAGAACATAGGGAAGCATCTGGGTTGCTCCAAGCCTAGCAAAAGGTCGATACCGGTATTGGGGGAAAAGCCATTTGGACATGTCTTTTTCTAGGGGTACCAATTGTTCAATGGTTTTAAAGGGAACCCGACAGGAACACCAATCTTGGTCAGCCCCAGACCCATTTGGTTCCAGAAGGTCCAAGGAGCCATTTGGTCACAAAGTCCAGCTCAGATCCCCGGGAAGACTAGATCGCGGATGGGGAACCCAAGGTGGGGGATGCACTGATGGATGGATAAAATCCCCCAACTGGTCTGGCGTGGAGTTCGTCCCTGCACAGTCGGGTACCCTGCGACCCAGTTTGAAGGTGGTCAAGAAATAGGTTTGGATCGCCCCCTCCTTTTTGTTGGGGGGGAAAAGCTTGACAGGGTGGGCATGTCCAATCCAAAAAACCGGTTGTTTTGCAACCAAACAGAGAAAACGCAATGAACACAAGAAACACACCAAGCCCACCACGAAACCAACAAACACATCACACACACACACAGCCGCACGAAAACGACCATGTGGGCATCCAACCCCGGTCTGAAGAAAGGGATGTGTGACCAAATCAAAGGTCAACAAACCTCTTCTTTCTTCGGCCGCCCTTAAAATGTGTCCAGAGATTCGCTCTTGGGAAGCAGACCTGCTGCAAAGTAGACCGTCTACTTTGTACAGGGAGTGCAGGGAAGAACCCCCAATCTGAAGCTTGATCTTTTGAAGACCGCAAGGCAGGCCTTGGCACGTTTGAATCGGGGAGATCAAGAGTGGCGCTTTTCCAGAGCCCTTGGGACATATTGTCTGCATTCAAAACCGGAAAAAGACATGGCATCCCCAAGTTAAGGACCTACATCATGGTGAGCTCGTTTCACACCCTGGTGAGCTCGCCGCAAAAAATCGGCAGATGCAAAAGGTATGGGTTTGTCTCTAAACGTTTCTTTTTCATAACAAGGCCTGTTGGGGGCAACAGCGCGCTGAGACCTTGCTCAGGGGATCCCAAAGGTAGCATGGGGCAAAGGAAAACCATCACTGGCTACGGTTCTGTTTCGTGGCACCTGCGACCAGTTCTGGTGGATGATGGGCTATTACACAAACCTCCACTGACATGGTCGGCTAGAAAGCGCTGTCGCGGGGACCCCGAAACATGGACCAGCACCATTTCTACCGCTCCTTTGGCCCGAATTCAAAAACAAAATGTGTGATTCTGGTCCATATATGGTGAACCTTCAATGGGCAATCATTTCAAAAGCGGTGCCAGGTGTCCCAAAAACACAAACACACACAGTTGAAAGCAACTCGCCCCCCTGCCTGAAACGAGCATCGGCCAAACATGCTGCATCGAAACTCGGCCGACCGAGCCACTAATGGTGGGGATGAAGTCCGACTCGTCGTCGAACCATTTGAAGTCTGCGTCCTTGGGCGTTGATGCATCGAGAGGGGATCGGCCAACAACAGTCGTGTGCCACCCACGGAAAATCGGTGTGGCAGAAAGGTCTCATGGGGGAGCCAGTGCGCAATCTCTCTCACTCCAGGCAAGATGCGAAAGTCAGGTAGCATTTTGCATTCACCTGGCGAGCTGGGTCGTCGGCAGCCAAAGGGAGCAAAGGGGACTCATCCCAATGGATTCTCTGGAAAAGAGGGCATCTTTGTTGGCTTGAGTTTGAAGGGCACTCTCAGGATGCCAATGAGTAGTCGAACTGTTCAGAGCCTGCAACATGATGATAAGCCTCAACTTCTGAGCCCCAACACCCCACACCCCCCCCCCCCCACAGACCCAACAAAGTTCCTTTTTAGATTCCGAAAGGAAGATCAAGGAAGATGTTGCAGAGGATTGAAGTTGTTGGGCATTCCGCGCTCTCCCATCGGTTGTCGGCTTTTGCCATGAAACATATATGCACCCAAACGCTTCCGGCTTCGACGTCAAATGGAAGACCCAGAGGAGTTTGGACACGGAGTTTGGGAGTCTCAAAACCTTGCTGGGCCAAAAAGTCTCATCTCAAATTGATGGACCCCCCCGCGAGTTCATCTCAAGTCCGAATCTGAAACCGCCTCTTCCGGTCCGAACTCATCTGAGACGTTTTCCCGTTCAGCAAGATGTAGACTTGTTTTTGTGTGGAATGGAAGCCCCGAAAATGCTGCTTGTTCCTTGTGGTGTCTTTTTAATTCAACCAAAAAGGGGGCTCCCCCAAACAAGACACGCCCACTTGTTGTTTATAACTATGGTGGCAAACGAGTAAACGGCTCAACCGGGGAAATAAGTTGCATTGGCTGTCTGACCTGGGCTCCTTACGGGAACAAACTTGGCAGCCTTACTGCTTTGTGGGAGTCCGGCAATGACGAAGTAAATAAGAAGCAAGAAGACATAAGAAAACAAGCGGTATTGATAATAGAAAAGGAAAGGACAAAGCTACGGATTGCTGTATTCAGGATGATATACTTCATGTGCTTTCTGTTCACTCCCTGTAAGCTTGGACATGAATGGGATTGAGGGCGGCATCACGCTGCCAGTCAATCCAGGAGTTCCTGCTCCCCCTCTGTCATTTCTCACTTCAGGTTATTTTCATAGCCCAAAGGTCCAATAATTAGCTATGTATGTTCTTGGTGAGATAATTCATTAAAAACAAGATAGGGAGACAAGAAGGACACAAGAAAGAAACCAGTCGCCACCTGGGGTCCCTAAAGTTGACAACCCTCGAGCCCGAGCTTGAATTCTTCCTCCTCAGCAGCCACCCCACCGGTGAACTCAGAAACAGCCCGACCAACCTGGAAATGTGTTCTCTACGGCTTTGCGGCTGAAATCCGGTCCCAAATGGAATCGCACTCATGCTCTCAAGCTCCTAAGCATGTTCAAGCTCTTGCTAGTGCTTGGACATCCGAAGCATGTGCACTTTAAGAGTTCAACAGTTCAACAGCTCACTTTGTGATCCAGCTACCATCAAACGCCACCCAATGCAAGATAGAAAGTCTGCAAGTTCGCCGTTAAACCAGGGTCAGGACTAGACATCCAAATGAGTTGAATATGGGACATCTTTTGTTTGCAAGGAACATCCCCACTCACCGAAATAAAGGAAACCCACTCAGTGATGAGTTGGCTGCCGTTTCAACGAGCTGGTTCGGTTCTTAGGCCGCTTTTGAGGGCCAATAGGGTTGTCATCGGCATACTAAACACTGTCAGGACCTATACGGTCGACTTTATGTGGGTAAGGGGCGGACCTTTACTAAAATGAACCAGTTTCACCCTGGGGATGTCTCAAAATCTCCCTTTGTGAGTGGATTTGCGAGAAAAACAAGTCCAAACTTTCGGGAAGACCATTACAATCCCACACACTCCATGTTGGTCATATTTACTAACATTCAAGTGTAGCCTCTCAGAGCAACATTCGGTATGAAGGCATAATTTGGCAACATTAGGCTTATCGGAATCTATGATTTGTCGGATGCCGTGATTGGGCGTGATTGCGCGTGCACATTGGAGTGTCTGGGAATGGTCTTCCCAAAAGCTTAAAGTCCGAGAACTCAGGGAGTGAGAAACAATCGGACCCCCAAAATGATGAGTCGCTTTCCGTTGGGCTGCTGTTGAAAACCCAAGGGTGGCACCCTCAAACATACACTACACGCCCACACCATACCGGATGTCATTTTGTCCGCCCAGGTGGCAACTCCTTGCTTCCGCCGGCCTGTTTCGCTTCCTTTTGTGGAGGGAACCTCCCTGTGTGTGTTTTGTAAAAGCCCAACACCAACTACTAAAAAAAAAAACAAGACTCCCTCCGGGTGGCACTTCCTTGCATCGACTTCTCTGGGACGGGGTACGTCACCCGCTTCCGTCGCCGTCGATTCGGAAGGGGATTTTTCCGTCGATTCGCCTGGGAGTCCTTGTGCTCGTCAAAGGTGTCCATGTCCAGGTCCGTGATGGCGGGCACCACCATGCGCCGGGGGTTCAGCCCTCGGAGGCTTCGGTGCCCGGCGTTGGTTTCATCTGGGGTCCCCCTTTGTTGGTTCCTTATGAAACACCAACCAACAGGGGGGAAACCCAAAAACAATGGCGCAGGGGGGATGTCATGAAAACACATATCAATACATTGACAGCCTTCTGGTGATGGAAGAAACATCGCATTCGTCACAAGGGGATGTTGGAGGACACCATGGCCCAACCTTCGAATTGGACTTGTTGCCAAACTGGGAAACTAATAGGAAAACACCCACGGACGCGGATCCCACCGATTTTGTTTTTTTAGTGATACTAAATTTCATTTCCCGCGGCCAAACAAATGCATGTTAGTCACTCACAGGGCTAAATCGTTACCATCCTATAAGAGTCCTGATGGATCTTGGGGCTCCAACATCCCCTGTGTTGAGACCACTTGGGGTATGGTAGCCCAGATTCTGCATACCAAGCCCCGAGGCAATAGGATTCCACGGTTTTGGATTTTGTACCCTGCGCTCTTCGAATGACTTCGCCTCGTATGGTCTTCCTATGAAGCCCACTGTGTGAGTCCAAGGTCGAGGAGAATCTGCCAGTCCAGGCTCAAAGAGCGGTTCAGCTTTCTGGCTGCTTGCAAGAGATCAAGCAACCACGTTCAAAGCTTCGCAGGTCTTACTCTACAAAACATGGAACCCAACCAATCAGATCTTTGCTAGAAACGGGCTCCAAGTTCTGGAGAGTGGTGAATGCGGAACCGCACATGTGCCTCTGCCTTAAATGATGACTTCGGACAGGAACTTCAGCCGTAGGAAAACGCGGAAAGCGATGGCTAGGTGTCTCCTTCTAGCATTCGGCAAACTCAACTGGTCCGAGCTCTCAGAACACCGGTATTCATTTCCCTTGATTTTGGATCCGAATGTGGACCCTGAGGCTTGCGAAGCCTTGCTAAGCTTTGTCAAAGCTTGCCGAAGCCTTCTTGGGGAGCGCCTGCAAAGCCCTTGTGCGATTTACTACCTCAGCGTTCGGATTCATGTCCGCCAACCATTTTTTGGGTCGGTGGTTCTCTATTGGAATTTAGAGCCATTTGGTCAACATCATCCTGGTCAAAGCTCAGAGATCTCAGCTCTCACCTGTCCCTGTTTGACCCCCCTCCCCATCGTCCCATTCCCCAGCCACTTCAAGCATAGCCTCGGACTTGCTCCAGGATCTCCTTCCAAGGAGGGTCTGCCGAAAACATAGCCCCGGCTTTTCATTAAGACCCATTCATTCAGTGCTTGCACTGCTTGCGCATAAACCAGGTGCAATGGAGGTGTACAAATGATTGAAAGCAGGTTTGGTATTAGAAACACGAGGTGTCCCCGCTTCATTCACGAGAACTGTGAGGCAAAACCAACGTGCCTCTGCGCTAGTCGTCAATGAGGCCTCACTGGGAGAACCGAGCTAAACAATGATTCCCCAGAGCGTGCACATTTTTATGTTTTGATTGGTGGGGTTCCCTTAAATGTTCTTTCCCAAACGTGACAACTCGTTGGCGAAACCTTGCAAGTAATTAATTGGCAGTTCGCACTTTGCCGCAAGGACACAACAGTTTCCAGCTAGAGGACATGTTCGACTAGCTCGACCAGGACATTGTGTCAAAACAGGGGACCTCATAGCCAGTTCGCGGCTTGGTTTGCCTCTAAAGCAACCTGGAAAGGTTGCCGAGCTCTCCAAAAGCCAGCGCGACATCAATGTTTAAGCCACTTCCTAAGTCATTAAATGGGTATGGGTCAAAATTAAACCACCAGGGGACCACAGGTTTTAGTCATTGTTTCCATTTACCAGGGTGCGATTTGGGGTATACCTATTTTTGCCCCACTGCCAAATGGAGAATTTGACCGGCGAGTCCAACACAAGTCTCCGGCTCCTGGTACCAGTTCTCCTGCGGTGCACAGTGGCAGTCGATGAAGGCAATGACGTCGCCTTGGGCCTCACGAGTCGTGAGGCCGCGTTAGGCGCTCAACGCGCCAAGCTGTGCACCGCTTGGCTGCCTTCTCAAGTGAATTTGCCAAGAAAAGTCACCAAACCTTCTGTACCAAAACGGGTGTTCCTGTGGATCCCCCAAACAAAGGAGACACCCAAGTTGGCCAAACCCTGACTTGAGTCCAGAAATGGGAAGTGAGAGCTTGAAGTCTCTCAGGGCTCCATGGAAACAGCGGTTTTGGCTTCACCAGTGGCTCTCGAGGGTAGAGTCTATCGCCCCGAGATCATGATCCTTCCGAAGGTTCCGTGGTTTTACCGACGGTATGGCAAACTGATGTTTGTTGGCTGCGATTCAGAACGACAACGCCGAACCATGTGTATCAAGTCATATCGCCGACTGAGAAACTGGCCCTGGTGAGACTCTGTACTTGGGTTCCGCTTAGCACACTGCTCGAAGAACCTACCAAAAGCTAGGTGTTCCCAAGGGTAAATGGTAAAACTTTTGCTGTTGCTACTCTTCTAAGGTTGGTTTACCATGTCCAAAGGTTGATCCCCTATTGCTTTCACCCATCCGTCTTCTGAACAAAGAACTCACGTTGACATGATGCTGGATGGTTGCCTGCCTTCTAGCAAGAAGGATCTGCGGAAAGAATGGGCAAATATGTCGCAAAGCAAGTACGCACCTAAGAAGAACAAGGGGTGCTCAGCTTTTGGAACACCTGCACATGTGAATCCAGAACTTGAAAACCAATGCATCTGGCTTCGCGCAAGTTCAAGGGCAAAAGGCAGGTTTGTAGTGCGATGGACTTACACAAGTGGAGTTCAAACTTCCTGGACCCATGGACCCTCTTCCTGCGGCCGCCCGCCCAAAAGCACCAAGGCCGCACAAAGAGGTCAGGTTCCAGCGTAAGTACATGTTTCCCAAACGTGTGGGTGTACACCCCATCTGTTCATGAAACTTGGGTCGTGAAGCCTCGGCTTTCAGCCTTACATCGGCTGCTTTCTCTTGAGATTTCAGCTTCAGGGTACTTGCAACGGTCTTGCAAATTCTACACATTCAAAGACTGAAACGCAAGAGTTCCCCCCCCCTTGGCTGGAATCGCTCGAAACCCATAGGCAGAATTTTGTCACCTTTCCCAGCCCAGTGGATTTCCTTGCTGGTTCGATAGGGAATGAGTTGGAATGACCCAAGAAAAACCATCCCTATGGTTTCCTTCAACGGAACTTGCTTCCAGTTCATTCCCACACCCTGGGTTATTCTCTTAGTGCGAGCACCGGCAAGTTTTGGGGGGAGTTGACTTAAAGGAGGCCCTCCGACCAGAAACTCGAAAGGACTCAAAACCACTCAGAGGCCCGCGGACGCCCGCGCGCGCGGGACCATGGGGCCTCCCGGCCCCCAGTGAGCTTGGCGGCCATGAGGCCCGTGGTGACCTGCACTCCGATTCTCCGGACCCCAAGCAAGCAGCGCTTCCAGTTGCCGTCCGCCGCTCGCAGAAGCAAGGTCTTCTTCGGGTTAGTGGCCACGAACTTTTTCGTATAGCTTTTACAATTCATGGCCTCCCTCGGATACCGTCAAGAAAGCTTGCCTGCCTGGAAGCACGGGGTTGGACCTCGAATCTGTGAGGCCCCCTTTGGCGCTCTCCCCCCTTGGGCTTGGGACAAAGAGGTCGTGCCAAATCGGGGTGGGTTCCAGAAACATAATTGGGCTTGGGTCAAAAAAGTATTTTTGTTTTTTTCCCTGTACATACACCCGGAAAGGTGTCCAAAAGGTGGGTTCCTTTTGTTCTGCCTTTACACTTTAAACCAACCCGGAAAGGGTACTAACCTCCAAAAAACAGGACGCACCACCCATACTGTGGATGGACGAAATCCTGCACCACTTTTGTTGCCCAGGTTTCCTATAAGACCCAACTTCCTCGGTGCCAATGTCTTCACTGACTTGAGGTGACGCTGAAAGCACCAACAGACTTGAACTTGCTGGGCCTCGACTGAATGACGAACCTAGCAGCAACAAGTTCAAAAGGTTCGAAAACTGTACAGGTACTATGTCCTTACAAAACTCCCAGGAACTCCTTAGCTCCCTCTTTGCAAGAAAATTTGGATGTTCCCGGCTCCGTCACGGCTCCCCTCCAACCACCAGCTGAAGCAAACGCCTCGCCTCGTGACGGAGAAAGCGCACCACGCAGCTAGGATCCTCGAGGAGGACGTTGGGACAAATGGGTCAATAGGTGTGTGCCAAGATGGGCGTCTCATTTTCAGGTCCCCAACAATGGCTTGCAACCATTCAACCCCAAAATGTGCACAAACAAACAAACAAAACAAAAACTAAATGGCCACCTAAACTTTGGGAATCCGGCAGGCCCTGAGCATAAGGTCGTTCGATCTTTGCTTCCAAAGGTAGTGGCGACGAGGTCGCAAAGCCCAGCCATGTTGCATGGGCGGTAATCTTCATCAGTTTTCCTTTGAAGCAACTCCTTTTGGAGGGGGTACCCTAGAAAGCACAGCCGCAAGATTCATTCAGGGGTCCTTTTCTTCAAATGAGTTCATTACACATCCTCATCGTGCTTGGGAGTGCCGTTGCAAGAAAAAGGGTGCTCGGCAGGAATGAGGGAATGACCCCTATAGCCTACAAACGATCCCTTGCGATTTTGGGTTCGGAATACCCCGGAATTTAGCTAATATCGGCGAAACAAGAGCAGGGCACCTCTCACTGGACATCGGCGACGAAAGAATCGACGGGATCATGTTCAGTGACATCCGCCAGGAACCTTTCAGTAATTTCGATCTCTGAGGTTTACTTCCGCTGGAAATTCGCGTGTAGAAACCACAAATTCATTTGCAGATGGGTTTTTTGGAGGAACCACCACATTAGATTGGATTGGATTTGCGGTGTGGTTCTTGGCTCCCTTAGCAGCACCCCCATACTAAAGGCTGCATGACCATCCCTGGCAACTCCAAGTCGGCACACATGGGAGAAACCAAAAGGAACCAAACAGGTTTAAGGGTCGAGGTCCGAGATTCAGGGACAAAGCCTTACCAGAATTCCCCTATGTTTCCTCTCCAAAGAGAAAAAAATACGACATGTCCAAAACCTGACGTACGGGATTCGGTAAAGTACTCAGAAGTAGCTTAACGGTATCAAATAAACGGTATCATAGACGAAGCATGTTTATGCAAATTGAGGCAAATTGCATAGATGACTTGGTAACTTCTTCTCATGTGCGCCACAGAGTTTTTCTGCTTGGTTCCTGGTGGAAAAGGTTGACAGGCAAGCCCTTTTCAAGATTGTTTATGGTGATGTTGAGAAGCTTTGGTTCGGGTTGCCAGCATGTTGATTTGTATGTTCGCTGTCAAAACTACAGATGAGAATTCCCTGGGATGTGGTTGTTTGTATCTAGTTACTAGTTTATCTTATTGTTTTGTGGCTAGACACATGTTTGGATTTTGTTTTTGTTGTTTACTTGGCCGTGGGCCTGTCGGGGCCCTATCGGGGGGCTTCCTGGCAACTACGCGCACGTCCACGAGCAGGAGCGACCGGGGTTGTTGTGAATTCAGGCTTCAGCTCCCTTTTTTTCACGCCCAACAAGTCGCATCGAGACTTTGGACACTTAGATTGTGACAGTTCCAGACTTAAGTTTCAGATGGGCGCTACAATTGTCGGCGCTCTTTCTTTTTTTGCTTTAGGGAACGGGGCAATTTGGAGTTTTTGCGCAGAGGAGTTTGCGCAGTGGTGCGTCCAGTCGCAGCTGGCTCAGGAGGCCAGTGGCGAGTTGGGTGGCTCGAAAGTTTTTGAAAGAATGACCGGATGTTCGAAGCCCGTTAGACGGAAGTCATTTGATTTCAAGCTATGCAGCTGGTCCAGGTTTGAGACACAGTCGGTCCCACAGCCAGATCCGGTCTGACACGCGCAGGTTGGGGTTTGAGTGTTTGTGGGGGGAGCCAGTCAAACGCGTGTAGGGTTGGGTCTAATTACGCCAGATTCAGTCGGGAAGGCGCGGGCGGTCTGAGTGGCCCGGCGTGGCCAGAGATAGAGTTTCGGTAGCGCCGCATCTGGCCACTGTTGGTGTCCTTGCGCATGCGTGAGGCCACGCCAGATTCGGTCGGGGGTCAGGGTCTGACCTAGGGGCGGAGGGGTACAAAGGCGGCGCAGCTCCGGGTGTGTGCGAGTGTCCCACTAGAATCTAACCCACTCGAATTCAAACCCACTCGAAGATGAGCACTCTCTCTCGGGAGTTTGAGTGTGTGTGTGTGTGTCTGCATCAGGCTACGCCAGATCCGGTCAGACACTACTGTGGGACCAGGTTGGGTCTGAGTATTTGCTTGGGGCAACGGAAAAGAGGTCTGTGTGTCTGTGGCACGCGACGCACGCATGGCCAGATGCAGTTATATCCGCGCAGGTACAGATCTGAGTGTCAGCTTGCCACGGTTGGACACCACAGGCTTGGGTCAGAGTGTTTGCGGCTGGATCCGGTCAGGTCCGGGCTTTGGCGTGGCACGGGTAGGGCATATTGTAGCGGCAAGCTTTTATGCAAGAACATAGAGCTCATGTGCTAGCATGCAAGACACGTTATGCAATTTGATGGATCTTCAAAATACTTAGCCTCAAAGACTTGTAAGACAAAGGCGGCCCTTAGAAAAGAAGTTTGCAACTAGGTGAAAACGCCTGGACAACTAAGGCGACCCTTGAAAAAGAAGCCTCCAGAGATATTCCACGTTTGCGGATTGATTTTTTGGGGAAAGCCCACTTGAATTTGCTGCAAACGCCTCCAGAGATTCGGTTCCAGGCGCCCATGGCTGACAACTCGCAGTTCCAGCCGTTAGTTGCAACAACTCGCCTGCAATTGCCAAGTGTGTCATTGCCTTCAAGTTCGGCAGGCCACAGCCAAGCTCCTGGCCGCGGAGAGACGTTGTGAGGCAGCGGGCCCGCGGAAGACGTCGGCTGTTTGCTTGTTGTTCGGGCCGTCACAGCAGCCATTGCTGTTTTGTTTGCATGTGTCTCTGCCCTCACTTGAGACCTAAATGCTATGTAACAGCAGTGCATTTCAACACTACGACAAGAAGATGAGCCACTGGTGGCTCAGCAGCGGGTGGCGGGCAAATGGATGAAACGACCTAGTTGCTGGAGGTTGCTCAACAGGAAGGTCTGTCGCTCGCTGGCGCCAGTGCCCCCTGCAAACCCCAGAATCTTCGCAGCTCAAAAAACCTTTGAGATGTTTTCAGATGTGGCACTTAGTGACACATTTTCTTCAGAGCCTGGCGGGGGCATGCTCAAAGGCTGGAAAGGGTCTAAATGGGCATGGGTTCATCTATATGGATCAGCACAGTCAGCCTGTGACATGCGTGCACGGCGCAACCTCATGGCAGAGTTCGACGCTGCTGCGGGGGAGGCAGGGCTGGAATGGCCACGGCTGAATTTTCGGAAGAGACATGCCACACGCGACATGCCACACGCGACAGGAGAAAGCTTTGCAACTTTTACCGGAACACCACCTTCCCAGAAGGCTCCAGGCGCAGGAATCAGCGTGCTAAAGTTTTGCCTCATTGTTTGGTATGCAGGTGGCGTGGTCGTCTGATGATGAGCCTGTGACGCCTCCACGGCGGCCAAAGAACGGGCAGGCCCTGCGTTGCAGTCTTGACACTTCCAGCACGGGACGGGTCAGGCATCGCCAGACCAGTCGCCGCATCGCACTTGCGGACAGGATGAGGCCAGAGTTATGTGCATTCTGGCTTGGCCAGGGGTTGCGACTCATGCTGCCCAGGGGCTGAAAGAGGGATCAGAATCTTTAGCCGGAGAGCAGGTGGGAGAGGTTTCACTTGCCCGCCCCAAAGTCGACGTCTCGATATTTTGAGTCTCCTGTTTTCAAAAAGGCTAGCCCTTTTCCGCGGCCATGAGAAGTGAGAATGCACATGTGAGTATCGGAGCTGGCAAGACTTGCAAGAAGCATTCCTAGTCGTGATCCTGCTAGGACGGGCGCCGCGGGGCCAGCCACCTTGACCTCGTGTCAGCCGGTGCTGTTCCAGTTCCGGATCAGGCGGGCCAATTGCAATAGGCGACCGGAAGCAAATTCTGTGCCGAGGCACGCAGCGATAGCCAACGGAGCCAGGTGTCCTCGCAGAGGCTTGTGATTGACACAGCTTGCCCAAATTGCCTCCATTGCCTTTGTTGCTCCCTTGCTGTGTCCTGATTTCGCGCGCCAATCCTGGCCAGAATCACCGCCAAGCCCGATCACCACCACCTCTGCCAGAGGCGAGGCGAGGGAGCCGAAGAGAGCCACGCACGGCGCAGCTGGCGGGCTCACCGTGCGGATTTTTAGCTTTCAGCTGTGCAAGTCGCCCATTCTGCCTTGTTTGTTTGCATCGAGACGTTCGCGTTGGGGTTGCGAAGTAGCGGATCCAAACCTCCACCGGCAAGGCTGACAATGAAAGTAGCACTGCGACAACAAGGACTGCTGAGAATGAGACGACAGAGTTGCCTGCAACTAAAGGTCCCTGTTTGAAACTAAGGTTCTTGCCTGGCATTTAGAAATTTAGAGTTGTTTGCATGGAACAATTGTGTTTAGGGGACTATTTTTTCACAACCTTGGGCCCAGGGGCCAGGGCAGAGAGAGAGAGAGAGAGAGAGAGAGAGAGAGAGACAGAGAGAGAGAGAGAGAGAGAGAGAGAGAGAGAGAGAGAGAGAGAGAGAGAGAGAGAGAGAGAGAGAGAGAGAGAGAGAGAGAGAGAGAGAGAGAGAGAGAGAGACGAGAGAGAGAGAGAGAGAGAGAGAGAGAGAGAGAGAGAGAGAGAGAGAGAGAGAGAGAGAGAGAGAGAGAGAGAGAGAGAGAGAGAGAGAGAGAGAGAGGAGGCGCGCTAGCGCAGTTGGGCTTGTGTTGGGCTTGTAGATGCACGCATGGCCGCTTTTTCATGCGTTTGGGTCTCACTTTTTTGCTCCCCTACTTTGCTTTTCGCCCCGCGCAAGAGGACACAGGGGCCTTGAGTGTTGTGTAGATGCCGGATCTGTTTGCGTCACGAGCGTTCGTGTCACGAGCAGTGGCCAAATGACAGGCCCGTGAACGGCCCACAGCGCGACAGCTGTGCTCGTTAATGTAGCAAGTGTTGCTTCCATAGCAGCGTGTCACGGGCCTCCGCTTTGCAAGCGGGGATATGTGTGTATGTTGCCAAAGCTTGTGGGTGGTTCACTCGCGCTTTGCTCAG